CCAGGCCGAGCCTTACCCTCGGTGCCCCAGATGCGGACTCTACGGTCGCCCCCGCACGAGGCTAGCAGGGTTCCCGTGGGGTTCCAGGCCAGGAACCAGCAGCGCGAGTCCGGGTGCGCCGGGACACGGCCCAGCAGCACCAGCGAGTCCTTCATGGCGACCTGACGCAATACGAGGAGGAGTTGGGTCCGTCCCTACGGCAGGCTCCACTGTGCAGATTCCGGGACCCGACTCTGCCTCCTAGGACCGCCGGTCCGGCCACTTCCGCCCGAGAATCCCGGTTGACCTGGGAACTGAAGTGCCCGCTAATACGGCCGCGCTGCCCCCTGGGAGTTGTAGTCGACCTTCCACCCCGGCATAAAGCGTCGCGGTACCGTTTCGAACTACCAGTCCCGTGAGGCCATAGCGAGGCTGTGGTGCGCTGGACTATGACGCGAGCGGGGACAGGGCGGGGAGCCGGAGGAGGCGGAGGCCGAGGCCGAGGCAGAGGCAGAGGCAGAGGAAGCGGAAGTGGGTCGGACCCGGGTTGGTCCGGGAGTAGGGGGTCAGGGCCTGGATCGCTTGGCCCGGGCAGCTGAGGACGGGACGAGCGGCGCCACCCTTGAGGCCTGCTGACCGGTGAGGAGCAGCGATCGGCGTGGGAAGGCTTTTCTGGGCAGGGGTCGCACCCCAGAGCGCTGTTCCCGGATCCAGGGTCTCCGATCCCTGCGGCTCAGCCTGGTCCTCCCCCCTTGGCACCCTCTGGCTGAAACCCCGGGTCCGGTCTCTCTCCCATCAGTAGCCCATACCCTCGCCCTCCAGCCCAATCCTCTCCGGGTCCTCATTCCGCGCCTCCATTCCAGGCACCCAGTCGCCGTCTCCGCCCCTGAATCCTGCAGCCCTCGGGTCTCAGCTCGGCCCCAGGTCCCACTCCCCCAGTCTCCGGTGTCCGCCCTGGCAGCCCTGCGGTTCCTCACCTGCGTCCTCCCTGGAACAGGCAGACTCTGCGCCCCCCGGAAGTCGGCGGCGAGCAGCAGCGACCGCGGAGCGACGGCGGGCGGCCCCGGGCATGTATGCCCCGGGAGGCGCAGGGCTGCCCGGCGGGCGCCGGCGGAGGAGCCCGGGAGGCAGTGCTCTGCCCAAGCAGCCATCACGGGCGCCTTGTCCATCACGGCGCTGTGCACTGCCCTCGCCGAGCCTGCCTGGTTGCACATCCATGGTGGCACCTGTTCCCGCCAGGAGCTGGGGGTCTCCGACGTACTGGGCTATGTGCATCCGGACCTGCTGAAAGGTAAGGCCGCCGCGCCGGGGCCTCTTCTTCCCGGGCGACCGGGGCTCCTCGGCGGGGAGCAGAATGGGGTGTGGCTGGAGAGCTGACAGCCAGGGCAGGACTTGGTGGAAGGAAACAGCCCCTTGGCTGCCTGGTGGGCCGGCCCCTCGTTAATTAGATGTTCAGCCAAGCACCTCCTTTTCAGGCCATGCTCATAGACTGCTGCTCTTGAGGATTCTGCCCGAGGAAGGGCGCGGTATACGGAGGAAAGATAAGGATGCAGGGCATTAAAACTAGCTAAGCAATCTCTGGGATGTCAGCTGATTGATGGAGAAAAAGAACTTTTAATCTGCTTAGATTTTAAAGTATATTTTCAAATTCTACAGTAGTTGGGTTTTTATTCTAGAAAAAGGGAATCTGTGGCATTTTAGATAACCAGGAGTCAGTTCCAGCCTCAGTAACAATTGGAACTTGGCTCTCAGAACCGTACGCCTGGCGAGGTGAGGTTTCTTTGCTCAGCCTGGTATGCAGAGGAAAAGGAAAGGGGAAAGAGACAGGGACTAGCCTCCTTACTGTGGACACAGGGAGGCCACAGCCTGCCGGGGTGGGGGATGGTGGGGTGGCTGCTGTCCCAGGGAGCCCAATGGCTGCTCCTGCCCAGCTCTGTGTCCAGCAGGGAGGGTACAGGCTGTGTAGTGTGAGTGCAGGATTGCACTGCCTGGCTTTTACCGGAAAAACAGTCAGTGGACCCCACTCTGCCCTTGGTCCCAGCACAGTTCATCGTCCCCACGGTCTTTTGAACTATTCTTTCTTTAAAAATATATATATTTTATTGATTTTTTACAGAGAGGAAGGGAGAGGGATAGAGACTTAGAAACATCGATGAGAGAGAAACATCATCAGCTGCCTCCTGCACACCCCCTACCGGGGATGTGCCCACAACCAAGGTACATGCCCTTGACCAGAATTGAACCTGGGACCCCCCAGCCCGCAGGCCGACGCTCTATCCACTGAGCCAAACCGGTCAAGGCATTTTGAACCATTCTTGAAGGTCTTTCTATTTTCTCCCTGTGCTACTCTCTGGCTGTGATGTGTTCCAGCTGTCTGCTGTGCCATGTCTCAGAGGCCCTTCCTGGAGATATCTTCACGTCGTCTTTTTAAGGACTCAGACACTGGGGTTTGGTGAAACGGTCAAGTTCTCTGTGCCTTGGATCTTATACCACTTTTTCAGGTCTAGGCTGAAAAGCTGTGTCGTTGTGGCCTAACGTCTTTCTCTGAGAGTTCTCTGTGTTCTCTCTCTCTCTCTCTAAGGGTATTTGAGGTTTTAGAATGATTTAGAGACCAGGATGGGGCTTCTAGTTTGTTTCCAGGTTCTTTCCTGATGATAGTCTTCGCTGGGTTGGCTCATTAAGACAGAAGTTATACACACGATGGAGGCCTTTGACACGCAGCTTTTTCTCTGGCGTGTAGCTGATGGAGAAAGGCCATCAAGCTGGAGTTGAATCTGGATGCTTTTTCCCTCAGCACATTTCCCTCACTTGCCTTCTTTGAAGCTCAGCTGCCACCTTCCACCACTTCATCCAGACCTTTGCACTTGACACCCTCAGTGTTTTAAGAGCTTGGTGTCACCTACCAACTGGGAGCGAGTTCCCAGTGCTTCTCCCTTTCAGCTCATTCCTAGGGAGGCTCATGAAGTTCGTGTGAGAGGGGAGAGGCAGTGTGATCCGAGGTCCTTATTTCAGAGGTCCAGGAAGCTGTGTCTCAGAGAAGTGAAGTCACATTTCTTCAGGGCCACACAGCTGGGAGTGATAGCTGCGCCTGCCTCATCTGTTGACTCAGTATAAAGTGATACTGTCTCATTTATCTTTTTTATCCTTTATTTTAGCTGTCATAGGAATGATCTCAGGGTTATTCTGCTTTGGTGTACATCAGTGATGGTGAACCTATGACATGCATGTCAGAGGTGACACGCGAACTCATTTTTTTGGTTGATTTTTCTTTGTTAAATGGCATTTAAATATATAAAATAAATATCAAAAATATAAATCTTTGTTTTACTATGGTTGCAAAGATCAAAAAATTTCTATATGTGACACAGCACCAGAGTTAAGTTAGGGTTTTTCAAAATGCTGACACGCTGAGCTCAAAAGGTTCGCCATCACTGGTGTACATCCTTGTAAAAACCATGTAAAAAAGCCGAAACTGGTTTGGCTCAGTGGATAGAGCGTTGGCCTGCAGACTAAAGGGTCCCAGGTTTGATTCCGGTCAAGGGCACATGCCCAGGTTGCGGGCTCAATTCCCAGTGGGGGGGGGGGGGGCATGCAGGAGGCAACTGATCAATGATTCTCTCTCATCATTAATGTTTCTATCTCTCTCTCCCTCTCCCTTCCTCTCTGAAGTCAATTAAAAAAAAAAAAAAAGCACATTACCTTAACCCAGTGGTTCTCAACCTTGGCTGCACAATCAATAAAATATATTTAAAAAAAAACAAAAAAAAACACACACAAAAAAAACCATGTAAAAAATAAAAAATTCTTGGTGCAGGTTCTTCTTTGTTCACATATATATTTTTATAGATATAAAAGCACATTGCCGCCCTAGCTGGTTTGGCTCAGTGGATAGAGCGTTGGCCTGCAGACTAAAGGGTCCCAGGTTTGATTCCGGTCAAGGGCACATGCCCAGGTTGCGGGCTCAATTCCCAGTGG